TGTGGTAACGGCTCCAGTGTCGGCAGTGAACGACTGCTGAAACAACGCAGCTGTTGTTCCTCACAGACTCAGGGTTGAATTACTTGTCAAAATCTAAAATAACTTTTACAGCACTTCCTGCTGTTATGAGCCAATTAGCTTGTTTGTCATAATTACTTTAAAATGAGCTAAAGGTTAGCCAAACTGTGTTGTGTTTTTATAACCCGCCTATTTCTTACACAAAGGCTAAAGGTTGGCAAAGAAAATAAAAAACAGATTTTAAGTTGATGATATGTTAATGTAATTAAAAAATTTAATTCATTTTAATTAATTATGTTAACCCATAGAAACCCATTAGATCTGGTAAACTAATATATTAGCAAAAACAAAGTAGCAACAAATAAAAATAAATATTGACTTGGGTCATAACGTTTCCAGTTTGCATTAGAATATATAATGATTTTAGCTGCGTAAATAACAACACTACAAAGAAAAGACGTAAATTGTAAGATATGAAATCCCTCAGACGGGCGTGGCACCAACAACCACCTGAAGGACAGAAACATGGACGCCTCACCCTGAAGGGCTGATCGGGGATGAAGGGGAAGTAGACGGTGGATGCCTCCTCCTCCGTCCATTTCCCAGAAACACAGGCCATGCGCAGGAACTGTCGGTCTCCGAAGCGGGCTGTGAGTTTCAGGGCCACGTCGCGCTGCTGCTTCTCCTCCTTCTCCGAGTCACGGCCGCAGGTCAGACTGATGTCGAAGCTGCAGAAGAAGCAACACAGATATTGGGTTGTTTTTTCTATTGGAAAGACAGCATTGATATAAAAACGTAACTTTTTGCCGATATCCAATATGCCGATATGGTCCAAACACCTCATTTCCAATTCTGATATCAACCGTTACCGATACTATCGGCCCGATATTAGTATAATAATTGATAATATATGTTGACGAACTTCTGTGTAGAACGTTTGCTCAGCAGTGAGATGCAGCTAAATATATCAGTTCTGGGTTTGTTCTGGTTACTGTGAGGCCGGCAGCAGCTCTGTGACTAAACAGTCATTTTACCATGGCAGCAGCAACTGAACATGATGAGATCATAGAGAACGTTTCTTCTCAGTTGGACCTAAGTTTCCATCTCTTCTTTCTTCACTTTAAGCCCCATTTTCTCCCCGCCGGCGGGGAAACGCCCGGTTTCTGCATACTGTACTTAAGAAGCCTTTCTTCTCTCTGACCGCCCACACAGATCTGGATCTGCGTGTCACAGAGTGGCAGCACGAGTCCGACTGGCCCGACTCTGAACAAAGACTTTATCACTAACGCGGCTCATTCCTCTCCGGCCGTAAATAACACAGAACAGGCTGCTTCAAGATAAGGTGCGTGTTCATGAACTGGTGTCACACCTCTCTGGTTCCAGGTCGATGATTCCCATCACTATGATCTTCTTCCCTGGTCGCATTCCTCCACGGATACGTCCGCTGAACGGCACCGTCTACAGGTGGAATAAAGTAGATGTCATTTAAAATAGTCAATTACGATACATGCGTTAAAGACAGTGGGATTTGGACGGTTGAAGATGAAAATAGCCTGAGACAAAAGGTTAATGAAATGGACCAATGAAAGACAAGCAGGAAGTGACTCATCATTTGGCAGCTGTCACAAGGATGAAGTCAACTTTGACCTTTCACAGCAGGGATGTGAAATCATCAACATCCAACAGCTGAAGGACGTTCGCCAACAACATTTAAATAAAGGCCGTGGTACAGTTTATGAAGTACTGCAAAAGTACTACAGTTTAATAGAGGTACACAGGAAAACCATTGACCATTTACTGTGGTTTTACTTGTTACACCAGGAAAAAAAGGAAAATAAAAATCAACATGGCCCTGGTCCTGACCCACAGAGACAATCACTGGAGTCAGCAACGTTTACAATGATGGACCTAATCCCTGCAGATTAACTACATTGGAAGTAGACGACCAAGACGACAAATTAAAAAAAAAGAATTCATACGAGGTGAATGTGACTTCCATTCTCCGTCAACCAATTCAATCCAGTTTAGTGTTAATTATACTTTCCTTAATTTCTAGCCTGCCTGTTTTTTGGGGGGTGTGGTGTATTCATCCATTCATTTAAAGGATCTTTGATCTGAACTACATCTCAGTGGACTATGTATTTTTAAAATCAATATTTTTTTTCTCACCAGTAGACGAGATAAATCCTCCTTATCAGGAGAGATGAGGCCCGGGTTCCCCAGAGAGTCGTTCAGATGGTCGTCCTCCACATTCTTCAACATCGGTGGAGAAACACACGCAGCCACAGAAACAGAAAGAGAAAGAGAAAGAAAAAAGACATAAAATGTCATTTAAAACCGAGCTTTCAGGTCTGGTATATTTAATATTTACAAACGTCCTAAACAATGGCTGAGGTGAATTCCAGCAGCATCAGCAGATCTGTCAGCCTGTTCGACGGCAGCCAGGTAAGGAACCGGCCTCGTTCTGGTCCAAATGGGACGCACAAGTGGGCCACGGAGCACATACGCAGATAGAATGGAAAAAAAAGCCTGGATGACCGCAGTCACAGACGCAGCAGCAGCAGCAGTGTGTCGGATTTTACAATTTCCTCCCCGAACACACACAGACACACATGGACGAGGGTCGCCGGAGGTTGGTCGCTGCTCAAGCCGCTGCGCGCAGACGACGCTCCACGTTACGGAGCATTTTTGGCCCATGTGTGCACAGAATCACACCCACAGGCCTCGGAGTAATTAAAACACAGACACCAGCATCACAAAACACCCGCCACGTTTTCCCAGATTTCACCAAAAATACTCACTATGCTGTCGTTCTCCGCTGCCTGCACCGCCATCTTGAGCTGAATAGCATAGGATGCTGATTATGGAGCAGAGGCAGCGCAGCCGCGGGGGAGCTGCTGAGTGTGTGTGTGTGTGTGTGTGTGTCAGCGTCGTGGCACTGACTCAGGAGGAGGATATTCCTGTTCCTGCTCCAGACTCTCCTTCTCCTCGGCTGTTACAGAGATCTACACACACACAGGCTGCAGTCACAGACCGTGTGTGTGTGTGTGTTTGTGGTAATGCTGCTTGCGTAACACAGTATAAGCCACCAGAGTACTATATATAAAGTAGTATTGTGGTACTTAGTCATTCATTTAAATTGTTTTTTTTTTCTTTTTTTATCTTCAATTCAAATGTCTTTATTTGTTGCATGTATGTGAAATATTATGTGTGTATTATCCACAGATCTGGTATTTTGTTCGTACTGGTTAAATATAATATAAAATATAAATATGTATATATAATTTCATAACATTTTTAAACCAAATTTTAAAAACAAATCATTCCACCCTTCCTGCAGTACCTACGCAAAACCTCTAGAGGCTTTGAACATCTTTTTTCTGGCGTTGTGCTACTATCTTGTGGTCAGATTTGGTACTGCACCACATTCACCTCAATTAATGTAAAAACCTTTAGAATAACATAAAATAAGATAATTAATAAGATTTTTAGCCGTTTTTTTAACACAATTCACAAATCACACCCACGTGTGTACATCCAACCTTTGTGTGTTTTTTTTACGTTCTTCTTCATTTTATTCGGTTTTTTATAGTTTATTGTGCTATATTTTCCTCTCTATATTCCATTTTTTATTTAATAATATCTGCAGATCCTCAAATCGTTTCCATTTTCATGTTTTACATAGGTGGTCTCTCTCCCTCTCTGCTCTCCCCCCTCCTCCTCCTCTTGTCTCCCCCTCTACTGTACTGCCATGGCCGCAATAGCTGCTGCCGGTGTGGATGATGCGGCGGCCGGTTCTGCTGCTGCTGCTGCTGCTGACTGCACCGAGATGGAGGAGCGGGTAAGATGCTTGTGGTTCGTCTGTGACAGTGACGCTGTTCTGCTCAGCAGCCACGGTGTCACGGTGGAGGTGAGAACGTCCTCATCACGGAGCTCCGCTGCCGCTGCAGCAAAGATGGAGAGAAACTCGTGCACGACCGCTGCACTGGCATCTCCCATAATCTCTGGATTATTCATGCATAAGATTAGACATCGGGGATTGTTACTTGAGTGCAAACGCATGCGGTCAACACTGAGCGACGCTGGTTTCAGCACCAGGGCTAAAGATGTTGAGACGCACTGAGTGTGCGCCAGGACTCGGCTGCAGCTGTGCGCACTTCCCCACTGCGGATGGAGTGAGAGAAGTGAAACTGACAGCTGCTGGCCTGTGGTTGGAGCTGTGATGTAGAGAGTGAAGGGTTCTGTGAATAGGCAAGTCAGACTGTAGTTACAGAGCAGACAAGTCGCCCATTCCGCACAGATCTGTGTCAACCCACGTCAGGCTGGTTTTCGGCCAGCAGGCGCAGCGGACCGTGACTCATGTTGGCAGCGGAGGTAGGAATTGCTCCTGACTGATGGAGCAGAGATGAGTGTTGAATGAAGTGACAGGTTTAGTAGTCGGTAGTTCGTGTGAGGAAATGTTCAAGAACGACATGACAAGTTGATGCGGAGTAAACTCAGACCGGTTGTTGGTTCTAACCGTCGTTTAACGCCTGTCGTTAATTAGTTTATTTAGTTTAACAAGTCCGTTATAAGCGGTAGCACTGAGGCCATTAGAACGGGGCCAACAAAGGGCTAATTTAAGATGTTTCTTAGCTCACTCTCACCGACATTTGATTACATTTTCATAATGTCCCGGGAAATTTGAGTTTAAAAGATGAACATCATAGTGAGGGTGCGGCCTGTATCGATTTTACCAAAAAAATAAGGCTAAACCTGAGCTATTTTGGCTAACGTTCTGCTACTTTTGCTTTAGTATTTCTTGAAACGTGTATTTATGGAATAAATTCTTAAATATGTGTACATTTTTGCTAACTTTAAGATGTTAAACTTATCTTTTGGCCAATTTCTTTGCTAGTCCTAGCATTAGCTTTTCTACAACAAATAATATATCTCATTGTCGGATATCATTTTTGCTATTTTAAGCTGTCATTATTCTAATTTATATATTTTTCTATTATTATTAATACTATCTTCTGACCTAGCTCATATATAAATTTGCACAGTATATATTTTTTTTAGTTACTGCTTTTGAGTCTTGGTCAAAAGATTAAAATAGTAAGCAGAAGTAGATGTTTAGCTTGTGTTTAACTTTATTGTTGTAGCTATGATCTATGCTAGGTATTAGCCTTAGCTCTTTTGGCCCTATTTTTTGTAGCTCATTGTCAAACATAATTGTTGTCATTGATTGATTTTTTTCTATTTTTTTTTCTTAACATTATCACCTATCCCATTTTTATAAACAAACATCAATTCCACTGATTTTGAGCCATAGCAACGATTATTTGTAAAAAAAAAATTCCACTGATTTTGAGCCATAGCAACACTCAAACAGTAGATGCTGCTTGGTGACTAAGTTTTAGTCCTGGTGTTTTCCGGCACCTGTTTGGTCCTGAAGTGAACCAGTTCTTCCACTCACGGAGCTGTTTGTGTCAGATGATGATGAGTTTGTTCACGTGTTCACAATAAGTCACTCTGAACTCAGTCTGTGAACACTCAGTCTGATCTTCATCTTTGCTTCTTGTCCTCTGTTTCTCTCTGGGTGAGTGATTGCTTTAACTGCTGTCTTTTTTCTTCCCTTCATGCAGTCATTGTGATCTGTTTCTTAGATACTGTAACAACACTTTTATCTCTAACAACACCTTTATCTGCAGGTGTTAGATCTTAAAATCAACCTGATCTCTGACATGATTAGCACCATCATAAATCACAGTAATTCCTAAGTTATCAAGTAGAGTAAATAAAATAAAAATCATTTTTAAAGTTTTACTTTTAGATATTCCTTCCTTTCCTCTTTGGTTATCTAATGCTAATTCTAACCCTAACGTCTCAGTTAGCTTTTCCTTAGGTTAATTCTGAATGTATATGTATATACAGTATATGTGTGTTTCTACATATATATGTGTGTGTATATATATATATCGTGTGTGTATATACTGACTGTTTCAGATTATCTTCTGATCTTCTTATTCTTCCTACAAAATAAAAGGAAGTAGAGTAAAAGAGAGAAAGGCAGTTCCAAGAGATTAGTGAATGAAACGCTTGTTGTATCATGTGACACAAATACCTTATCTACAGAGCGGATCTGGGATTTTTCCACACACTGTATGATTTAGCTTCATGTTAAATTGACCTCAATATTTGGGGACAAAGGGTAAAAGGTTTCTCTGAAAAGCTGAACATGTTAACGTTAGAAATCCATGGAGTTAGCATTGTCTGAGAAATCTTTTTTTTGTTTGCTCTTTTCCTTGGACAGTTTAATAAATGAGGTTAATAAATGGTCTTGACATTAGAATCTCTAACTCTTTGTCTTTGTCTGATTTTCAGCCGAATGTTGAGAGGATGGAGGCTGATGTGGAGGCTTCCCTGCCGGCTGCACAGCAGGATTCTGCCATCAGGTGCAGAGATGTTTGTCGCTCCTACGGCAAACTGAAGGTCCTCAGTAACCTGAACCTGACCGTACCGCAGGGATACATGTGAGTCAAGGGTCTGATTCTGTGCAGCACCAACTCCTGCACAATGTTATCATGGCCGTCATATCAGGCTGTGTGTCAGGCTCAATCGTTCCTCATTCCTTATCAGAGTTTGGGTTAAACGTTAACTCAGACACTTTTTTTTTTCAGTGCTTGATAATTCTTATCGTATGTGATTTCAACGACTGTTATAAAAAGTGTTTTTGTGCGTGTGATAAGGCACTCTGTACTTCTAGTCAACAGATCTTATTTCTACACTGAATTCAGACGTTGTGCCTAACGTCCACTTCACACCTGTTCATCTGCTCCTCACTGGGAGTGTCTGATCAGGTGACTGAGTGACCGACAGCAAGTCGACCTGTTTCATCGATGTTAGGGCCACACAGGCTAATCGGAGGAAACACAACAATTCTCTTAGACTTGATTTTTTCCCACACAAAAAACAATCTTAATAAGTAGAAAAAAATGACCCAATTAGTAATGCTGGTTCTCAGTCTATAAAAGCTTTAACCTTTAGACATGTATCTGCTGAGTCATCAGCTGCCAACATCAGCTCACTTGAAAACACGTTTCAATTTCTCCTGAATTAAGGCAGGTGAGAGAGATATGTACGGAGTGACAAGTATGTGAGTTCTTGGAATTCTTAACGCATTGAGAGAATTCACTTCAGTTAACACCAGTCTGGGTGTCAACTGGCAAACGTATCTTATAGGCTGATCCTTTTTTTGTTCTTCAGAAAGTACAGTCCACTTGATGTACTTTCTGAAGAACAAAAAAAAACAAAAATTCTCAGATAAACTCAGTCAGACTGTCATTTATTTAAAGCCCTGTGAAGTCGCCGAGCTGTTTGCCAACATTGTTGGGTTTGAGATGAACTCATCTGTTTATCTTGAGATGGATGGATGAATGTTGTTACAGTCCACGTTCCTGTAGCTGTAGTAGATCAGTCCGGTTGATAACAACTCCATGCTCCTTCCATATCAGCTGCAAAGCAAAACATTAACTGAAAAACAAAATGACACTTTTTATAGTATTGTTAGGTGGCTACAAAATGAGTGTAAATACACGATGTATCAAAAATCAAAATAAAGATTTTTTTTTAAGTTAGATAAATAATGCTGCCGTTGTTCTCTTGTTGCAGTTACGGTCTTTTAGGCCCCAGTGGATGTGGGAAAACTACACTCCTGAAATGCATTGTGGGAACTCTGAAAATCTCACGGGGTCACATCACTGTGCTCGGGAAGCCGCCGGCATTTCCTGGTCATGACGTTCCGGGGAAGATGATCGGATACATGCCGCAGGTGAAACCTCGGTCTTTAAACCAAACGTCAGCTCATTTCTAATCCTAATTTAGATAATCCTGGTTCACTTTCATCTGGATTTTCACTCTGTTTGGTTCTTTTGGATTGAGCTGATTCTCTGGTTTATCTCAGCATCGCAAGAGTTCTGAGATCCAGAGAAGAGGAAATGTGATGGTTTATCAGTGACTCCATCTGTCATTAATACAAAGTCATTGAGTGTGAAGTTGTTTGCTGCTTCCTCAACAAAACTGGTCTATTTATATACAAAAACGAATATGTGAGATATGAGGAAGTGAAAGTCTAGATCTGTAGATCATCATATCTGTATTCCAATCATTTGGTTTGTTTGTTTTTTTATTTATTTGTCAGGAGCTGGCTTTGTACAACGAGTTCACCATCAGCGACACTTTGACCTTCTTCGGTCGAATCCACGGCCTGACGTCCAAAGAAACCCTGGCACGGATGGAGTTCCTCATCGACTTCCTAGATCTACCTCAGAAGACCAGACTGGTCCGAAACCTCAGGTGAAACCACCTAATTGTTCAGACAGAGTCGTGATGCAGCGACTGTTCATAATTTAGTAGGATGAATGTTTCTGTTTGAGGGGTGAAAGGTGAGCTCTGGTGTCTTACAGCTGTCTGCCGTGGACTTTGACGCTTGAATTACACACAAACAAAGACAGGGACGGACTAACACCATCCGCCTTCACTCAGCAGCTTTAACACGAGAGATGTTTAACACAGAGACCAGGAAAATGACACAGTTTGTTTTTTAACACCAACAAATTGTAGTGTGTTGTTTCTACAGATTTCACTGCCGTTAGCTGAGAAAAAAACACAATCTTTAATATTTTAATTCTTAACATAATTTCTAAAGCTGTGTGTTGGCAAGAATCTGGTGATACGATAAGTATCACGATACAGGGGAACAGATACGATATATTGCGATACTATATCCATGACGATATATTGAGGGTTTTTTTCAACAATGTAACAGTAGTGTACTACCATCATAGTAAACACACAATGAAAATAAAGGAAGAAACAGAACCAACACCAGGAATATTGGACTGGGAATTGGTGATAAAAAATCAATAACTGATGGAGGATATTGATACGGTATCAGGAAACTAAATATCACATTATTTTGGTGTATTGAGATTTACTTGCAGCCCTATTAAAAGTGTTCTATTTTTTATATTTTGTTTTGTTTGAGCCACTGTCATCATGATCCTCCATGACGATGGTTGTCATGACAACAGTCCAGTTGTCAGCACTCACCCACAGGGATGCAGAGGATGTCAGCCTGCAGCTGCATCAGTAACCTGTTGGACGTCATGCCTCCGTCCACCCGCAGCTGCGTCAGTGGGACACCACTGTCCTGATTCATGGCGTCCAGGATCTGATCCACACAATTCACACGAGCACCAGATTAACAGCTGAGCGGAACTTGAAGGGTCAAATCCAGGTCAACTAAATGATTTCATAAACATGGCTATTTAAATATTTTCTCTAAAATGATTTTCTGTCACAGTTTAGTTTATGACAGCAGGCGTCTTCTCCTCAGCTGCCCCTAGCTGACACACACACACACACACACACAGGCTGTCGCAGGTGTTTACTACAGAGAATATGAGAAACATCCCAGGCACGAATAAATACACCGTGTGTCAGTGGTGTTACATCTGCTCATGAGCTGGTTCTGCCTTATTGAAGTCTTTTTGATTTTTTTTTTTTTTAATTTCTAAACATCGTTCAAAACCAGTGCAGTGATGTTTTTTAAATAAATAAAAATAAATTTGAACTATATTGATCCTGTATTTGGGAATGTCTTGTGTTAGCAGCAGATAGGCTGTTAATAGGCTGCCCCCTGTAGGTGTCAGGCATGTGGTTCCTCTGGGAATTGAACCCAGGACACTCTGTGTCCACTGCAGCGCTACACTATGGAACCGACGTTGTGGCATTAAAGTAATAATAGAGTTATAGTTGTGAATGTCAGTGACATTCCTGCCTTTTACCAACATTCTTCTCTCTGGTTGGTACTTCCTGTGGGTGTTGTCAGGCAGGTTTGTCCTACAGGTTTTGTCACTGTTACTTCCACCCCCCTCGTCTATTGTGCAATAATCAGAAATGTGACGGAGCAACTGTTACATCGTCTTCACCTCTTTTTGATGTCCATTTCGTTTTTTCTTTGCCGCAGCGGGGGTCAGAGACGCAGGGTGTCTCTGGGAGCTGCTCTGCTCCAGAACCCAGAGCTGCTCATCCTGGACGAGCCTACAGTGGGAGTGGACCCGGTGCTCAGGGCCAAGTATGTACCAGAAGGCACACACACGCACACACGCATGCAGAGGTTTTCATCTGACGTTGCCACATTCTTCCGAGTGGCGAACGGTTTTAAATAACACATGACATTCAGTCATGATTGTTTGTTTTTTTAACGACTGTCCAGGATCTGGCAGCATCTGGTGGAGATTGTGAAAACAGGGAAGGTGTCAGTCATCATAACCACACACTACATCGAGGAGGCCAGGCAGGCCAATGTGGTGAGAGCACGAAACGATGAGCACGCACTTTCATACAGCGCACACAGCAGTACATACAAGGACATAACGACGGGGTGAAGAAAAAAAACTTTTTGTAAAACAGGACACATAATTTGGTCTCGTCCTCCATCACTGTTCACCAAATGTGTATGTGTCACTAAGCAGATTCTGTCTGACTGTCAAATGAGCTTAAGGTGAATTACTGCCCCCTACATGTTGGAGCGTGTACATCAGCGTTAGCGTTGCTCCAGATATCATAAAACATAAATGTTTTAATAAATAACTTTAATTAACATTTACCAAACGTCACAGCTTGACAGACATTTAACGTTTGCTACACAGGATCAAAAAATGTTAGCATTAACGTTGCACAAGTTGGACTTTGCCAATGTTCAAATCCTGCCCAAAAATGTCAGCAGACAAACATTACTATGTCTAAGCGTTAAAAGGTCAAAGCTACGGTTTGGCTGTGTTGCCTCCACTGCTGCTCAAACGAATGCTTGGCTCAGCATAAACCCAGTCATGCCTGGAGTTTCTTCATTGTTCCAGCTGTAATCTGATTAGTGACCGCAGAGCTCATGAACGGAGGAGGACGTAGATTTCACTCACTTTACTTTGTCAAAATCAAAGACATAAGAAGTCACAGACTTCCACAGAGAAGTTTCACTGTGATGCTTCCTGTTCAGTGTCACATGATCAGAGGTTTCACTCAGACAGAGGAAGATCCAGGTGAGCTGACCTCACCTGTGTGTGTGTGTTAAAAAAAAGTCAGAAACCATGTCAGGTGAAGAGCAGCCATCCATCACTGCATGACAGAGGAATCTGGAGGCTAATTGGGTCGCAACAACACACACACACACACTGACATAATGCAACGGTGTGTTTCCCCTGGAGGGCGCCACAAACGAGTGATGAACATTCATCATTTTTGTCTTGTTTACATAGAAGAATGAAATGGACATTCTCAACATAAACTTTGAAGAGTTAACAATAATACCTTCCAACGACAATTTATATCAGTGCACACAAACATGTCTGTTCCTGATCCCTACCTGCACTCTAATCTGATATAATTCTAATCCTAACTTCAAAACAAATCTTGAACCTCAGAATACCCTGTAACTCAGTCGGTACCAGCGAAGAGAGTCCCTACGAGTCTAGCTGTACCAGAACACACTCACACATACTGTGATTGTCTTTCGAGGTTAAGGTTTCTTTCCTTCTTCTTTTTTTTTTTCAGGTCGGTCTCATGCGGAATGGACACTTGTTGGCTGAAGCTCCTCCAGAGGTAGTCATGAAGCAGCACAGTGCTACAGTGAGTACTGCTGAGGCCGGGTATTATTTATTTGACCAACAGTCAAAACTATATGTGAGAGTTAACACACAGTTTTGATGAACGGGTCACTGCTTTGTTGTATTTCTACACTCTTGTGTTGCAGAAATGATTAATTTAAAAGAAAAATGCATATTTTGTTTTTTGATATTCTTATATACATCAGATAGAAATAAGATACTTTATTGATCCCAAAGGGAATTTAAGATAAATAACTGGCAGCAGTGGGATTCGAACCCACGCCCCCGAAGAGACTGGAGCCTTAATCCAGCGCCTTAGACCGCTCGGCCACGCTACCATATAAGAGTTGTAGACAAACTACAACACTTGTTAAGTTACTGGTTTTCCAGAATATATAACATACATTTACTATATTTTAAATGAAAAATTAAAGCAAAATATATATATATATACATTTATGTAGAGAAAAAATACGTCAGACTGCTGCTAGAAAAGTTGTAAATGCAGTGTGTCAAGAAAATGATAAGGTGAGGCACTGTGGTACTGACAGAGACACCCGGGAGTGGCAAAAAAGTATGTGAGGATCGTGCAGAACATGTACGAAGCCAGGGAGACAGTAGTTAGGTGTGCTGTCAGTATGACTGATGGGTTCAACGTGGCGTTACTTGATCTCTGAGCTCTGTTGTTATTTGTACCAGTATCTTGATCTTCAACATCTTCATCACCTTCTCCTCTAGACCCTAGAGTACGCTTTCCTGCAACTCTGTGAGACCTCAGATCAGGTCGACTCCAAAGTTGGATCCAGTCCACAGGGAGCTGTGCTGGAAAACAGCCCGTCTTTTGGGAGCGGAAAAGACGAGATTCGACCGTTTCTTAGGAATGGAAAGGCAGCAGCAGAAGAGATTCCCAAATATTCAGGTACATATATAGCAATATATACAGTATATACATAAAGCAATATTTTGTTTCACAATACCAGATCGATATTCTGTATCAATTTGTTTATTAACAGTTAACGTGCAAATATTTATGGCCAAATCTATCAAGCATGTAACATCAGTGTGTTTACTTTGCTGACAGTTTTCTTGCATTTTACTTTAACTTTTTGGTATCGCAATATATCGTATCACTGCCCTGTATCGTGATACGTATCGTATCGCCAGATTCTTGTCAACACACACCCCTAGCTTAAAAGCATAAATAAAGGTGATTCTTTTTGACGATAACACATTTTGTTGGGTTCTTTTGTGTGTTCTGCTGTGACGGTTCAGCTGACTGGAAGGTACGGACCAGACACCTGCTGCCAAAGGGGAGAAACATCGCCGCTCTGATGATCAAGACCCTGGTGCGGATGAAGAGGATGCCGGGGTTTGTCCATTTTTTAATGACTTTAACTTTTTCAGCTGCACAGATTCCTGTCCGGTCCAGAGACCTAGAGCCTGGTTCTGTCTCCCGTGTGTCTGCAGCTCCCTGTGTTTCCAGTTCCTGCTGCCTGTCATCCAGATCGCCCTCATCTGTCTGTGTGTGGGAGCAGATCCAAAGGGAATCGATGTCGCAGTCGTCAACAACGACACCTCGCAGAATTCTTTCAGCCTCAGTCTGCTCTCCTTTCTGGACAACGCCAGTGTTCACCAGGTGGTCACTCTGCTCTGGTTTTATCAACATAAATTGGGTTCATTGTTTCTGCTGCCACTTGGGGCAGTATTATTATATTTTAGTTTCTTGCTTGGGATAGAAAGTTTTATTCACCTGATCAAATTTTTATCATTTTTGATATTTCTCTGCTGACTAAAACATTTGAGTAAAGTTAGTCCTCCTGTGGTTCTGTTCTCCGTAGGTGCCTTTGTCTCACGATGAGGCCTTTGATGGGATCAATAACGGAGAATACTGGGGCGTCATTGGCTTCGGGAAGAACTTCACCAGCTATTTGACAAAAAGGTGAGAGGCAGTTAAGGTGAACTAGGTGAACTAACGAACAGGTGAACTAATGAACTGACTGCAGATCATGCTGTAATCATGCTGTTCAGGTCGGGTTACTTCACTACATTTTTGTGTGATGTTTCCGAGGTTACGTGACCCCTATGTATTTGACCTTGATCCTCTGACTCTGTCTCACTACATCCAGTAACGCCTCTTCTTTTTTTCATTCTCTACCTGATTTCACGTTAGACTGAGTCAAAGGATGATTGTCTTTAATAACAGAGGAGAGATGGACAGTTAAGTCTTGACACTGACAGATCAGGATTAAACTGATCAATTTTTCATTAATCGACAGCCTTAAAAATGAAGACTGAGAGAGAGAGGGTGGGGGGGCGTTTCTGTGATGTGAGTGTGACTCATTCCTGGAGGTTAAAGGGCATCAGTGTTATTTGTGTGAGTCGACAGTCTGGTCCTTCCGGTCCCTAACACACCTGAGCAGGTCACCGATCAGCAGCGGCCAATTAAAATGCTCCGTCAGACTGAATCATGTGCTGCACATGTGACAGAGCTGCCTGAACAAAGAACAGCAACAACAACAACAAAAGAACAACGTTTCCTCCTCCTCCTCCTCCTCCTGCTGCTAAAATTAAAGGTTTTTATTACAGTCACATTTCATTGAACATTGAGATGAACCTTTATCTTTCAGTTCCTTTATTTGAGTTCCTTAATTTCCTGAAGGGTTTACCGAAGAATTAATGAAGTTCTTTTATCTGTCAGTTCCAGCAGCTCATAGTTGGAAATAAAAAGAAGTACAGTTAACAAAACTTTCACAAATCTCATTTACCTGTATATACAGGTTCTTTCTTGCAATAACCTGAGGGTATGTGTTTTATACTGTTTTTCTTAGGCTAGAAAATAATGAAAATATTAGAAATTTAATCAAACCCGCGATAGAGTAAAAAATCCGCAAAACAAGAATACTTTTAAAATATTAAAAACGATGGACGACTGTAATTCAAGAATCTGATTTATTTACTTTTCAGCAGTGACAGTATTTGTGTTTTGGTATTTGTGGAGATCTTAAGATCATGACCCTGTTGTGGTCTCTATAGGGCAACACAGCGAATAGTTACCAAAGAAGTGGTTGATGGAGGATCAGTGCACGTCTGGTTGGACCTGACAAGTGAGACGCAAACTTTTCTTATGGTTTGACTGGATTTTACTAAACAACAACGAATCATGTGATTTTTGACCAAAATTAAAAAAATAAAGAAAATTCAGAGAGAAAATAATCTGTCATTAACATTCCATGTACGATATTTTCCCCTGGAATATGAAACAGTGAGATTCTCGTTTTTTTCTGTGTTTGTTTGTTTGTTTGTTTGTAGATCAACTGAGTGCCATAATGCTGCAAAAGAAGCTTCACGAGGCGTTTGCGGTATAAACACAATTCTATTTGTAATTATATAATATTTTTATAATTATATTTGTATCATGTAAAGTACTGAAAACAATCCCAGTCCACTTTTATTAACTGTTTTTTTTCCTGTCCTGTCCTGTAGTTAATCCAACAGATTAAAGTGTGTTTTCTGTCCTCAGGCTTTTATGGAGAATAAATTGGGCAGCATGTCCTACCTGGCCTCACTGCCAATCAAGGTGAGAAAAGAGTTTTGTTTTATACTAGCTTTATAGGTAAGAAACTAAGTTGACTAAAAATTGATAAAATTCTATTCATCCTCTACATCAGTGTTTCCCAAATTATGTCCAGTCTAACTGGTGGTGCTTGGGCGCCCTCTAGTGGTACACGAAATAATATGTTTCCTATTAATAGGCTAATAATAATAATTAATAATAATAATAATAATCTGTATAATCTGTATTCTTCCTCTGATCTTCTAGTTTGAGGAGCCCATCTTTGGAAGTCTGAACATGGACTTCACTACATTTGTGACCCCAGGAGCTATTCTCAGGTCAGTGAGTTATAAGGAAAAATGATACAGGGCGAGATTACGATATATTGCAATACTATAGACACAACGATATATTGAGGTTTTTTTCAATGCTGTAACTGTCAAACTCGTAATAAAAAAATCAATACATCGATGGAGTATTGTGAAACGAAATATTGAAATATTTCAATGTATGGATATTTTCTCACAGCTCTAGTGTCTGTGTATATATATATAAATATATATGTATGTATGTATAAATGTGTGTGTTTGTCTCTGCTCTTCGGCCGCAGCATCACATTTTACCTGGCCGTGGGGCTGACAGCTCTGTCCTTTGTCCTGGAGAGGAAGGAAGGACTTCTGGACCGATGCTGGGTCGCAGGTGAGTCAATCAGAATTCCCACTGATCCTACGGTGACAACAGTGGTGACCACGGAGATTGTCCTGTTCAGAGAACATTCTGTGTTATGACCTGAGTTACTAAAACCTCTGCAGGTGTGTTAAACCAAACACTAAGTCAAATATTTCAAAGATACATTTTAAATATATTTAAGTCTAAACTCTTCTGCAGTGGTGTTTCTATCAGAAATTCCTTCTTTCAACTTCTCAGTCCTGTATAAAGACTGAATTCCTGCTCCTTTCCAATATTCTTTGAGAACCCGATGGTGAGTTTCAATAATTCAAACGGGCTTCCACTGAAGTTATTTTTAGATTGTAGTCACAGTGTTAGGCTTCCACTGAAGTTGTTATTTTTAGATTGTAGTCACAGTGTTGTCTGAGTTATGACCAGCAGAGGGAGCAACGAGATCACCCCAGACAGTGGCTGCTTTGACCCTGAAAACAGGAAAAATGGTTCACCTGTGTAGAATAAATCAGACGGCCGTTTGATTATAAACCTCAGAGTTTTATTGATAAATCTTTATTAAAGTAGTGTTAGTGATACTGTACTGATGGTGGTGTGTGTTGTCGGGTGTGTTGCAGGTGTGAGCTCCATGGAGACGATGCTGGCTCATCTCTTCTCTCAGCTGTTGGTCATCAGCGTCCAGATCCTCCTGCTGCTCCTCTTCATTCTGCTCGTCTTTGAGGTTTGTGTTCCTGACAGCGGCACTGGAAAAACACACAGACACACTCCTCTGATGAAGGGTCCAATTCTGCTGTTTTATCATCGCTTCACACTGATGGTTTTCTACAGCAAATCTGGTCCAAATTAGAGAGGTCTTAAGACCATGGTCCTAAGGTTAAACCTCATATAGTTTCAGTAAGAACAGCGTTTGAACTATAGTTCACCAGGTTAAAATGAGTTCTGTTTATAGGGCGTCCAAAAAGATAGAAGTCAGGTTACTGACAAGAATAGCTGCACAGACTCTGTGTGTGTGTGTGTCAGTGTGTTATTGTGTCCATATGTGCACATTAATTAAGAGACTGCTGCGGTCCGCAGTGACCACCACTCCATAAATCACTCCCTGCGTTGGTCGTATCCAGGAATCACTGAGGAATCGCCACGACAACCACCTCGATTGCTGTGGCAACCAAGTGGTCATGTGACCTCACGCTGCACATCTATTTTTGCAAGTTGTCAGGGGAGATGGACAGTGTTGTGACATACTGAGTGTAGACACACACACACACACACATTTTCATCATCAGTTTGTATTTTCTGACCTAAAACCTTAAGGTTTTTCTTAGTTTTTCTCTTCTCCACCGTCTGGTCCATCACAGGTTACATCAACACCTTTGACATTTATGACCTTGACATCTTTCCTCACCTCCCTGCCCATGTCTCTCCCCCTCCCTCCCTTGTCTCTCTGTCCGTCTCCTCTGCAGATGCCAAACAAAGGCTCCCTGGTTCTGGTCATCGTCCTCATCGTCCTCCAGGGCATCACCGGCATCTCCTTCGGCCTCGTCATCTCCGCTGCCCTCGACGACGAACAGAGCGCCAACCAAACTGCCCTGGGCGTCTTCTACCCAAACCTCATCATCAGCGGTAGGCCTCACTGTGTGTGTGTGTGTGGGTGTGTGACCTTCAGTGTCCAATCACCATAAACTGGATATAATCTGTGTGAAGTCACAAGGTCAGCGTGGCTCGCTTTTTAGGATTATTTTTAACCCACATAACTTTTAAAAGCCGTGGACGGACATGAGGTAATAATCTGTCTCTAACACCTGAGGAGAGTTAATGAAGTGCAGCCCATTTAGAGACTCTAACACACACACACACACACAGTCTTTATCTTTAAACTTCAGAGGTCCTGAGGTTTCTTCTATTAGAGATGGAACTTTCCTGGTTCCCAGATGATCTCCTTTAGTTGGATTATGACTGAGGTTGATGGAACTGTTGCTGCTGATAAATAAGTCAATTCACTCATAAACCATCTGTGAAACTGTTGTAATCTTCCAAACGTGTTCTCACTCCGACTCTCCTCTGTCCTCCTCCACTGCAGGGATCATCTGGCCCGTGGAGTGTATCCCGTATCCTCTGCGTTACCTCAGCCTGGCTCTGCCTCAGACTTACGCCTCGGAGGCTCTGCGCTGCATAATGTACCGAGGTAATCAACACACGCACGTACATACACACACACACACCTGCGGTTCATATCATTAGGTCCTCCTGGTGTTTCCTGCTCAGCCATTGGTCGGCCTGAGTCACAGCCAAAACCAGCCAAAAAAGAAGCATCAGGTCTAAATCATTCATCAGGACTGGATCCTGTGGAACTCAACTTCCTGGGCTGGAAGGTGTTGTGGTTTCCTCCTCCGTCCTCAACTCTGGACGTCATCGTCTTTAAAAGTGACGACAGCAGAATCTCTGGAGGTCATTGAACATGACGCACAGGAAGTCCTGGAATCTGTTTCCTGAATGAATGCTAGAATTTGCTAATTGAATTGAGGTTGTGTCTGTGCCACTAGTGGTCTGCGGGCCACTATTTGAATATTTTTAGCTGTTGGGAAAATCAGAAAGGTGGTTGACTTTGTGACCCACTTCTGTCGTCATGTTAACGTATCGACAGGTTGGGGCTTGTCTCGGATGATGGTGTGGCGAGGCTTCGCCGTCACCCTGGGATGGAACACCTTCTTCCTGGTCTTGGCCACGGTCATCTTGAAGCTGAGGACGTGAGTCTCCGTCCTGCAGAGACAAATGCCGTCTCAACCTGGACCCTCTGTCTGTGGACCCTCTGATCACCTGGACCCTCTATCTGTGGACCCTCTGTCTGTGGACCCTCTGATGCTGCACAGCAGGAGTGGGAGGTGACATCATCATCATCATGGTTGCGTCTGATCCTGAAAGTGCTGCCTGAAAACAAACAAACTGCAGAAACACAGTTCAGTCCTCAAGTACTACGTCAACTCTTTTTTGTTGCTGCGGATACACATTATCGTGCCAAGGGTTTCAGGCAGAGGTAAACATTTATATACAGGGTCGTGCATCACTTCGCCCAGCAGCCAGAACCTGAAAAAAGACCAGAATGAAGTTCTGGTTCTTGTGGTATTTACTTGAGATAGAAAAAAAAATTGAAGAATCATTTTAAGCCTGTCCGTCTGTCAACATCTGGGATTGTGGAATCGAACCTGGAACCATACAGTGAGTCCTAATACCGCTCCACTCTGACTCTAAAGTAACAATGAAAAAAAAAGGCTGCAAAAATGAGGTGAAAGGTAAATGTGTACACCTGCCTAAAACTTTTGTACAATCCTGTTATTTTTGCAGCATCTTCAAACCCTTCAGCCCAGACAGGACACACACACACACACTCACACACACTCTCACACCTCAGGGTCACTGTTGAGTTAGAATTTGTTTTCACGTTCACTGTTAATCCATATTCTGTTGCAGCTCACTTCACGTCAGTGTTGTTCAAATGGTGGGTTGTGGCTCAGAGTGGGTCGCAAGAAGAAAATGGATGGGTCACAGAACTGCATGAATCACTGGATACTTTACTCCGACTTTATATCAGAGATCTTTAATTAGTGCCAAATTAGTGTTTTCTTTGTCCATATTATTTTCGCTGGTTTTACCTTTCACTCTTTTCTGCCTTGACGGTACGAAGCTAAGCTACAGAATGGCCATCACATCGACCGGCCGTCATGGAGACATTGTGAATGTCCGTGAGGACGTCGGTTCTCTGCCCAGTTTTTTTTTATTATTTGTTTTGCTAACAGTAAAGGTCTCACACCTTCAAATAAATGTTTGGATTTTAAATGTAAACTCAATAAAATGTGAAGTACTTTTTAATGGTCGCTCTGCCGGCGGGAAATGACAGAAGGGCTGTTGTTGTAGAATGTTGTCAGGAACCCAGAGTTGGTTTCACACTGATGTTTTTTAATGCCTCGTCCACAAATTCTCAGCCAGTCAGTTTATTATTATTATTATTATTATTATTATTATTATTTTCCCAGCAGCAACAAAACGGTTTTCTGTTTCTGGTTGTTTTACCAGTTTGGTCTTTTTGCCTTGGTTGTTTTACCAGTTTGGTCTTTTTGTTCCGTCTGCTGAAATCGGTAACTGCTCTTCATCCCAGTGTGTTACCAGGTGCTTCAGAAACGAAGGTTGTTGACAACGGAGGCTGTGCTTCGTCCTTACATTTGTCGGCGGAGGAAGAGGGTTTTAAAGACATTCGCTGTATTTTTGGGGATTCTTCTGTGGACACAGTGGATGCAGCTACAGACACGTTCACTCACTGGTCATGTGCCACGTTCCTCCAACAATCTGCCCGACATAAGATTTGTCTTTTTTATTAAATTAAGTGTTAGCTGCATAAAACGGCAACAAGATATATAAAACACATATAAAAAGAGTTTTGTATTTGTGTCATTGTTCCATAATTTCTCTCACATGGTTCCAGGGTCTTCTGGTAACGACAACTGTTTCTCTCGCACACAAACACAAACAGGTGGGAAACACTGACACCTACCGGCTGATACGATGTGTCTCTCTGTCCCAGCAGTAAACGAGGTTTGTGGTATTGGTATTGTTTTTTAAAGCTGCAAAATCCAGTTACAAATTTGATACATTTTTAAAAATTAAAATACTATAATACTATTTAAGATATATACTGTATGTATCAATTAAAAAATGTTCTTCTCTTTTTTTTTCTTCCCCCTCATGTTCTATCACTCCATCGTCTTCTCCCTGATGGACTGGTGAGAAACTCTTTTCACGCTCCTGTGCTGCGACATGTGTAGAACCTGTTTGAACAGATGCGCTCCACTGACGTTCTCTTCATCAACCTCCAACCATCAGACTGCTGCAGGTTCTCCACCCTCTCACCCCCACCCTCACCCCTCCCTTGTCCTGTTGTTTCTTCACTGCCAGATTTTACTCGATACAATGGTATAAAAAAAAATCCCCCACAATTCCTGTGGTTAGAAAAACAGCCCCAGGCTGAGGACGACAGATTTATGTAATGACATCAGGTTTGCTTTCATCATTGTGTTGCTCGTTGCCACGGTGACCACGAGGCTGAGGATAGTGATGAGGACGACCCTGATGTCTAGCGTGGATCCTGGTGTGACTGTTTGAACATGGACATGTGTGTGTGTGTGTGTGTGTTTGTTTTGGCCTGTGTCTGGGTGTGTCTACTGTAAACTCCGACCGTTCCAGTGTCTCCACTGTTTCCTCACAGCTGTTAATCCCAGAGAAATCTTCCCAACTTTAACCACAGTCACAAAAGAAAAACCAAACAACCCGAGGTCGACTGTTGAAACTTTGACGTTTAAACCGCGTCCTGTCAGCTAATACAGTGTAAATGGGACGTGTTCAAAGTCTGGCCCGTGGATGGGTTTTTGCACATGGAAAATTGTTATCTTCGACCAAAGTTTTTTTTGTTGACCCATCGTTAAGGCAGGAATTTTTACTGCTCATCACTGGTTATTTTTTGTGACCTCTGTTATATTTTTGGATATTGTTGCTTTTTCCAAATTTTTTCATTGTTACATTTTAGTGATTTTATTCATTTTTTTTGCACTTTCTTTTAAAGTTTTTATTCATTTTCATTTTTTGCACTTTCTTTTAAAGTTTTTATTTCAGGACCAACTGCTTTGAGACCTGAAATTAAATTATAGCTAATTTGTTTTTTTTATTAGTAATTTTTAACAGTGTTTATAGCTATTTATTTTAGCTATTTTTTAATCTTATCCTATTTGAATCTAATCTTCGTGGTTTCATTTTTAACCAAATATTGTCTTGTCACGTCGACGTCTTCTGACTTGTTTTACGCTATTCAAGTTTCAACTTTTTTAACCTAACAGTTAACTTTCAGTGTTTTTGTTTTAGGTAATATTTGGTTTAAACTCAATTGTTTTTTCTTTCTAATTCCCAGAACGAGTCCTTGAATGTAATTTTCAGCCTTTGTTTCATTTTTCTCAGCTGATTATTTTCTCCCCGGTCAAGGAGGATGAACTCATGCCTCACTTTGAGCTTTATTGCTGCGTACACGCTGTGTGTGTTCACTTCCTCGCCGTTGGCTGGAAACGCAGTTATTTGAAGCCAGGCTTAATTTCAAGCTATGATAAACTACTGCATAATTTTCCGTAAGAATAAGGAAGGAAATTCACTCAGTGTAATTACACGACGGCTGTGAAATGATGGGAGGTAATACGGACCAGATGGAGGCGCCACTAAATTGTGTTCAAACTCTGAAGGTTACAGCATCCGACACACACACACACACACGAGATCTGGCCACAAATGAAACGATGAGATTTTACCCACAATCCTCTCTGCTTTTGTAGGTGTGATTATGCTGATCAGGAATAGTTCCAGAACAGTTCCTCTGGGACTTTGGTTGTCACCGTGTAATTACAGCGTCATTGGACTGTAATTTGGTGCGGCCTCGTCACCAAGTCAGGACAGACAGACAGACAGACAGACTCATGTTTGACACCGAGCTGAGGGAGTGAGTTAAAGACGAGGCACTGGAGCTGGGTCTGTTCTACAGAGGTGGGTGAGAAGGTCAGTGAGGTCGTGACATCAGTGGACCCTCAGTGGACACTCAGGGTCTAGACGTGTGGAGACGCTGCTTCACTGCAGTCTGTGTTTTGATGATTCCCACACTTTTGTCTCGTCTCGTGTTTTGAGTCCAAACAGTCTGATTGATGGAAGGAGATAAGGAGCAGGAGGTTCACAGAGGTTTGGAGGGAGTTGTAGATACAGTATGTATTGGAAACACACTGACAGCTGAGTGTGTGTGGGTGTGTGTGTGTGTGGGTGGGTGGTCTGTGTCATCACTGTACAGCAGTTTGAACAATTAATGGTGATTAATTGTAATTATTTCTGCAGCGCTCCTGTGATTAATCTGATAAAAATTTGATCTACGAAATCTTAGTTTAAAGTTCTTTCTTAACAACTTTAAGTAGTTTAAAGTTGTTTCTTAACAACTTTAAGAAGAACCAGGACTGGACTGGACTGGACTGAGACAACCAAGCTACGTCCAGAGTCTCCTGGTCTGGGCTGCAGCCCACGTCCGTGTCTCCTGACGAGCGCACGCAGATGTTGGAGTTTGGAAACTTCTGCAGGAGGAACGGTCGGTGTTTCTGCTGAGCTGTGATGAAGGAACCTGGTTACCATGTGAGGAGTGTTTCACACCGACATCTGGAGGGTATTACAGCACACACACACACACACACACACAAGAACGGCCTTGAATGAATGTACAGAACACGTCATATAGAACATGAAATGACCTCACACACACACACAGTTACGATACGTTTGTGTGTAAGTGGGAAAAGTGGAGTCCAAGTCCACACCACACGTCTGCACAACATGAGTAACCAGGAAAGTAAATAATCCTGAAATCTATCCCTACCAACTTATACACACACACACACACGTTCAAACAAACATGCACAAAGGCTCACGTGCACGAAAGCAAATATATTAAAAAAAAAACAGGGCTCAAATTAAGTCCTCACTAACAATAGGTCCATTAGCATCAACAGGTTCAGTGACGTTTGAACCTTTCATTAACGCTGACAGTTGGGATGAAACGTCAGTGTTATACAACAGGGTCACGAACGGTTAACGAAGGGAAACAACGTCCTCGGAATATCGCAATTGCACTTAAAAGTCTTATAGAGGTTTTATTTTTTAAATTTCCTCATATAAAAAAACATCTCAACCTGCACAAAAATAAATAAAATCAATTCTAGTTTTTCCTTTATCACCTGTCAGATTCACACTCTCTCTGCCTTTTCTGCAGATTCCAGGTTGTTTCATTTCATTTCTCTGCAGCACAGAGCTGTCAGGGAGGTCTTGAAATTTGCAAAACAAGAACTAAAAAAAAAAGTTAAATTCAGGCAGGGGAATTGGTTGACACTTAGCCAGAAAATAACTTAAAATGTCCGACGATGTTTCCAAGATAATGTTCAAATGTTTGTCCACAAAAGTTTAAAATAGTCCAGATGTTTTATTGTTTATAAAACAGCATAAAAAAAAAACTCAAAGTTGAAAGTTGACAGATGATAATTCAGAGTTTGCCTAGTGACAAACAAAACAGCTAAAAAGCTGCCAGCGCCAAGCTAAAGGTTAGCACAGAGGAGTCAACAGTGTTTAGGTAACAAGTTCAAGTAGGTTTTAGGTTTTATAGAGAGAACAAAAAGTACACTTCACACACACTCACACACACTCACAGAGTTTGATTCATCTGCTCCGCCCTGTGTGTGTGTGTGTGTGTGCGTCTGCTCTGTGATATGTTTAACATTGTGTAAACATTATCCAGCATGGTTACTGTCGCCATGGCAGCAGGTCAACAGTGCTCGGCGCGGCCCCTCAAACACGGGACACTCGTGTTATTTAATATTTGGCTAAGCATGAGCACAGCATGTTTCTATCACATAATCCTGTCACACCACTCAAGACTCCTCCTGACTCCCCGCTGCAGCCTGAGCCGCCACAGCTGTTGCTATGTTTTGCGCTTATCACACAACAACAACAAAGCACGGAGGCCACGCCAGGAACAGTCTGCCCTCGCTGTCAGGCCGCACACTTTGACGCTGGTCCAGAGTCAGCATCGCACGGCACAAGTGCACATGGTCCCTCCAGCCGCTCAGTTTACCAACGAAAAAAAAATACTAAAGACTTTTAGGTCAGAACCGTGGCTGCATCTGAGGGAACCCACCAGTGTGTCCAAAGTCTGGCTCACGGGCCAGTTATGTCACCTGGATGGGTTTTATGTGGCCTACAATTTTTTGACTGGTCATTTTTTATGATTTTTTTTCACGTCACTAGTTGAATCAAAACTAGTTTTTCTTATTTCTATTTTTTTTAAATATATATACACAGCACAACTTGTCAAATGTTTAACTGAAATTTTTTTTATATTTCATTAGTATTTCTTACTGATCTTTTTGGCTAACGTTTTACTATGTATTTGACTTGTATTTGTTGGTGCTCACTATGTTTTAATATATGTTTATATGATAAGATATATTTCAACTAACTTTTAGTTTTTTTCGGTAAGTCCGTCAGCCATTTTTGTTCACTTATAGGACATTTTTTATATTTTATATATTTTATGTAATATATTTATATATATTTTATATATTTTTACTATCATATTTATGTATATTTTATATTTTTTTATTTTATTTTTCTATATTGATTTTTAAAAAATGTATTTGTTGCTGCTTTTCTTTTCTTTTGATACACATCGAAGCAGTCGACGCCTTTTGTTTGTTACGTTCCACCCTCCTTGTTTTAGCCGCTCCATTCAGATCACATGACTCAACAGTAAACACACAATGACTGTTAGTCAACAACAGGTTATTTTTGACCTCTCCCTGCTTCATCATTTTCTGTTTCTGGATAACTCTAATAAATTGCAGCAACACGTCGAACTAAAACACGTCAGTCTGGACGTCGTGGATGAAACGATGTTTGGACTCTGTTTAGCTGGGAGTCGATCCACTTCACATCGCAGTGAGGAAACGTTTGGACCTGAGTCCAGCCGTGGGCAACAACAGGTCCAGTTGTGTGGCCGATTCTGACGCCAGAACAGCCGGGGCTTCACCTGCACTGACAGCGTATGCTGTTCTGATCCCTGATTCAAACATGAAGTGTTTAAAAAACTCTTGGCGCTGGAGTTGTTTAACAGGTTGACCCAGCCGAGGTCGCGACCTCAGACTCTGTCAGTAGCAGGTCTGTGTCATGTCAAACGCACACACACTCACAGGCTGCAGTAACCTGAGCAGCGAGCTCCTAAACTGTTGTTAAAACACACTAATGAGAATGTTCTGTGTTGACGTTGATGGAAC